CATTATTATTATTACATTATTATTTTATTTCAATTATTAAACTGTTTTTATCTCAACCCACAAGTTTTTCTCACTTGTGCTCTTCCAAGTCTCGCCCCCATCCCACCGGGGGGGGCGGGGAGTGAGCGAGTGGCTGTGTGGTGCTCAGTTGCCGACTGAGGTTAAACCATGACAGATACCGACACTTAAAAGGTCATTTGGACTTATGTTTCCATTTTGTCCATTGGTGGCTCCTCAGGGGGATGCTGCGAGTACGAAAGACTGCCTGCTCTGAACCCACGCAGTCACTGATGACCGCTGTGGAAAAGCCCAACTAAAACACCCTTCTGGGCAGGGTGCAAACAGCAGGTGGCAAAATAGGCTTCGAAGCCAAATACTATAATTAAAACAGGATTAATAAATTATCATCATCTATCCTGTGCACTGAATGAAGGGAGGGTCCTTCAGAAAGGAAAAATAGCACGAGTTCGTAATGAAAGATGAATCTTAACGGGATATATGGACAAAAAGGCTCAATTAAAATTGTGCAGGCAACTCTTGCATTACCTTACTTCTGGATGCTTTGTTTTGCATATTAATAAGCTTTTTCTTAAAGCCGCCTTTCTGTTTGTACTGCAGGTTGTCCAGTCAAAGAATAGTAACGTCTGCATGTAACTTCTGTAACTTCACTTAGCTCGTCTCTTAATTGACTGTGCACAAAGACATGCACCCAACACAGCGGGGCTGCAGCTAGCTAAAATTAATATGTATGGATTCGGAGGTTTTTTCTCTGACTTGAAAATCGCTCAAAATACTGCTTTATTGAAAAGAAATGCAAATGAACGTCTTTCATTCTTCAGAAGGATAATTACCCTCTTCTCTTTCTCTCTGTCATAAAGAGATTTGTTGTTTATTGTTTCTTTGCTTGCTTGGAAAACTGTTCTTTTGAAATCACCTAAGCTATAACACTTGCTCCAGTCCTTTGCAGGAACAGCAGTCCAAGCTACTAACCAAAAGTGGAGGAGTTGTCTAGTTTGCAGCCTGAAGGGGGTAGAGGAAAAGATCATTTGTCCAGAGACCTTTTAGAAAGGTGTATGGGGCGAGAAGGGGGGGGGAGAAAGTATTTTTGTTCTTAGGCTGGTGCATTTCTCAGGTCGCAGCTTTGTCGCCTTATGTCAAGGCTGAGCCCCAGGAAGAAGAGCAGCTGGAGAGTTACTCTTCTGATGGCCTTCCAGGGCGATGTTCATTAAAAGTAAATCCACTTCCTGAATTCCAATCAACCATCCTTCTGACAGCCCGGAGGTGAGTGATGGGAGTCCGACAGCCTTTGGCTCTAGCCAAAACAAGCAAAAAGGAAAGAACCCAGGTGGATATTTTCCAGCTGAAGTTCGTAAAGGTGGAGCTCAAAATAAATTGAAACGGGCAGGGTAACATCATTTTACCAGTGGGGTGATCAGGAAATGTCCACTGACTTTCTTGGGACCACATTTCCCATCTTTTCACTTGTCATCTGAGGGCATGGGTCATGAAAATCAGTGTGAGAGGAACCCCTTGATCACCTTTTAGCATTCAGCCACCTCCTGCTCAAGCCAGTACAGGACTGTCGCAGCTCTGTCTCCTCAGACCTCGCAGTAGAGCTGTTCGAAATGTGGTGGGTACTCAAAAGCCAACAAACTCCCAGACTACTCTGCAAACATACTTCAGCTCTTGTTAGCTCTCCCAGGCTCTACTTGCTAAGAGCGCTTTCTGTCCCATCATCCAGGTCGTTAATAAATATGTTAAACTTTATCAGCCCCAGTATGGGTACCTAAGGGACGTCACTAGCGACCAGCCACCAGCTGGACTCTGTACCGCTGATCCCAACTCTTTGAGCCCCACGATCTGAACAATCTTCCACCCACTTTATCATCTGTCTTTGATGAGGCTTCCCTTGAAGAACAACTAGCTCTCCTGGGCCCCTTTGCCCTCCAGGGCAGCTCCCTTTGGGATCCTGCCAAGCAGATTCCTGAACAAGGTGAAATCTGCTCTCCTGAAGGCAAGGGCAGTAATACTATTTGTCCTAGTGACTTCCTGCAGGATTTAATATTCCATGGTCTCATGGCTGCTGCAGGCAGACTTACCCTTAACCATCATGTCCTGGGCCAATTCTTCCTTGTTTCTGAATAGCAAACCCAGAGCATCTCTCCTAGTTGTCTCATCAATTGCCTGTGTCAAGAAATTGTCTTCAGCACACTCCAGAAACCACCTGGATTGTGCCCAATCATATAGCCCTTCCAGATAAAGTACACCCGTGAGTCCTAAGGCCTGTGAGATGGTTCCATTGACTTTCTCTCCTTGATCAGCTAGTCTGTAGTGAGTGCCTACCACAACATTGCCCGTGTTGCTTTGCCGCCTTCTCCCTGCCCAGAAGCACCTGACTGGCTCAGCACCTGTCCCATGGCAAAGCTCTGGGCAGTCCTCTGCACAAAGCACAACCACTCCTCACCCTTTCCAGCCTGTCTTTCCTGGAAAGCCTACGTCCATCTGTGGCAGCTCTCCAGTCATCTGAACTATCCCACCATGCCTCTGTAATCCAAAAGAAATCATAATTCTGCAGTTGTGTGGGGGCTAGTAATTCCCTCGGTTGTTTCCCGTGCTGCATATGTTTGTTTACAGATAACTTGAGATGAACCCTGAGTCATGATGCTTTTCACAAGAGACATGCAGGATCACGCTGTAGAGACTCCAGTGAGGGGAGCTCTGCACACAGATAATGAGTGTTTAGGTGCTTTTTTGGGCAAGGGGCATTTCGAGGCCCCGGCTGCATACCAGAGCTGACTGCAGTCTTTGCCGGTGCATCACTTTGCAGTCTGAGCTCTCCATCACTGTTGCAGCAATTGCTCCATTAGGAGCTTTTCTCCGATCACACCAAGATCGCAGATCAAACTGTGATGTGTTTACTGCTTCTTTTTAGCTACAACTAACTGTCATAAGAGAGAGCTTTATTGATCTCCGATGGCAGTGATGCCAGGAGCACATAGCTGTGCTGTTTTAGGAAATACTTCGACTATCTCCATAATTATCTTTGCATTACTGCTGCCCCAAAGGCTGGAAATTCGAGGCTCCTTGCAATACGTGTGCTTTCTCCCTTGTAGCTGAGCTGTATTCTACAAAAATCAAGGTCATCATGCTGACTGACATTTGGAGTTGGATAAAGATTTTTATTCCCAGAAACATAAATTATCTTTAAAGTCTCAGGTCACCATTTTAGGCTAATTTCTGTGACAGGTGCTTTCTGTACGGGAAAGCTTGACCTAACCTGAGCTTTCTCAAGCTCCAATGGAACAAAACGTCAGTCTTGCAAACAGAAACCCAGATGTTTTTTGTTTAGGAGCTGCTTCTCCTTTGACTTGTCTGTACAAACAAGGCGGCGACACAGATTTAAACAAACTCTTTCAAAATCGCCCCACGAGAATGCAGCAAGACCGGGTTGCTTGTGAACTGCGCTCCCACCTCGGCTGTGGGAGAGGGCACCCAAACACCTGGACCTCCCCCAGCCCTGCCCCACAGAGGGCACCACTGCAGTAGCTACCACCGGCGGCAGGGACAAAGCAGCCTCTGAGCTCTGGCTTTGGAGGAGGAGGAGGGATGACCCTCATCACCACTCCCCCAAGGCTGAGTTGAGCAGAGGAGGAGCTTCGGGTTTGAGCCAAGTCCCACATTCCCAGGCCAGCAACTGCAGGGAGAGAGGAGCAGGGAGACAAGAAAAGAGTGTGGGGAAGAGGAGAAACCAAGGAAAAGAGGGCAGCTGCC